ATTCTGACATCACCAAATTGTGGCATATGCATTTGGGACATATGAGCGAGAAAGGCTTGGGCATACTAAGCAAAAGGGGACTTCTTTGAGGTCAGAGTACTGGATCACTGGAATTCTGTGAACATTGTATCTTTGGGAAGCAAAAAAGAGTTAGTTTCAGTTTTTCAGTAATTCATAAGACGAAAGGTACTCTTGATTATATTCATTCAGATTTATAGGGTCCATCTCGTGTTCCGTCTAAGGGCGGTTCCAGGTATATGTTGACTTTCATTGATGATTATTCAAAGAAAGTTTGGGTTTATTTTCTTAAACATAAGAATGATGTTTACCTCACTTTCAAGTAATGGAAAATTTTGATTGAGAAACAGACAGGTAAACAAATCAAGCGGCTTAGAACAGATAATGGCATGGAATTTTGTGAAAGAGAATTTGATGAATTTTGCAAGAATGAAGGAATTGTTCGGCATCATACTGTCAGGATGACGCCTCAACAAAACGGTGTGGCTGAACGTATGAACAGAACACTTTTGGAGAGAGCGAGGTGCATGATCTTTAACGCAGGGTTGGCAAAGGATTTTTGGGCTGAACCAATTTCTATGGCCTGTTATATTGTCAATCGTGCTCCTTCTGTTGCTCTTAATTTCAAAACTCCTGAGAAAGTTTGGTCAGGTACTCCTGCTGATTATTCTGATTTTAAAATTTTTGAGTGTCCAGCATATATGCATATAAATGATGAAAAATTGGAATCTCGAGTTAAAAAGTGTATTTTTCTTGGGTATACTTCTGGGATGAAAGGATACAGATTATGGTGTACTGATCCTAAATTTTCAAAATTTATAATCAGTAGAGATGTTACTATTGATGAATTCTCTATGTTATCTTTCAAGAAGGAGTCTTCTAGTTCTTGTCAAACAGATGATAGTATGCAGAAGCAGGTGGAGCTTGAGATTGGTAGTTCTGGTCCTTCTATTCAACAAGTGCCAGTAGATGCATCTGAATCTACTGATGAAAACAATTCAGAAGAGAAAGAATATTCCATTGTCAGAGATAGACCAAGGAGGGATATTCGACCACCACAAAGATATGCAAATTTGGTTGCATATGTTTTGTCTATTGCAGAAGAAACTGATGTAGTTGATGAGCCTACTACTTATTCAGATGCGATTTCTTGTGATGATTCTACTAAGTGGTTGGTTGCGATGAATGAAGAAATTGAGTCTCTCCATCGAAATGGAACTTGGGTTCTTGTGAAGCCGCCTCCAAGTAAGAAAATTGTTAGATACAAATGGGTCTTCAAGAAGAAAGAAGGTATTCCAGGAGTTGAAGATGCAAGGTACAAAGCACGTTTGGTTGCAAAGGGTTATAGTCAGGTACAAGGTGTTGATTTTAATGAAATATTTTCACCTGTTGTTAAGCATAACTCTATTTGTGTTTTGCTTGATTTAGTTGCCATGTATGATTTAGAGTTGGAGCAACTTGATGTTAAGACAACTTTCTTACATGGTGAATTTGAAGAAAAAATTTATATGAGGCAACCTCAGGAATTTGAAATTGAGGGAAAGGAAGACCATGTTTGTTTGTTAAAGAAATCCTTATATGGATTGAAACAATCTCCAAAACAGTGGTATAAGAGGTTTGACACTTTTATGTTGAGTCATGGTTATTCAAAGAGTATGTATGATAGTTGCGTTTACTTCCGGAAATTAGATGATGGTTCTTTTATTTATTTGCTGCTTTATATTGATGACATGCTCATTGCTGCCAAGAATTTGTCAGAAATTCACACTTTGAAGTTGCAGTTAAGTAGTGAATTTGACATGAAACATTTGGGAGCAGCTAAGAAAATTCTTGGCATGGAGATCAAAAGAGACCGAGGAGCTGAAAAATTATTCTAGACTCAAGAAAATTATCTTGAGAAGGTCTGGGAGAAATTTGGCATGAAAGATACTAAACCTGTTACTACTCCTCTTGCTAATCATGTTCGACTATCTGCTGCTCAGTCACCACAGTCAGTTGAAAAGGAAGAGTATATGGTACGGGTTCCTTATTCCAACGCAGTTGGTAGCATTATGAATGCAATGGTTTGTACTTGTCCAGATATTGCACAAGCAGTCAGTGTGGTTAGCAGGTATATGTCGTGTCCTGAAAAAGCATATTGGCAGGCTATGAAGTGGATTCTCAGATACTTACGAGAGACTTCAAATTGTAGTTTGGAGTTTGGAAGAAATAATGACACTTTGGTTGGTTTTGTAGATTCTGACTATGTTAGGGATCTTGACAGGAGAAGATCACTTTCAGGTTACGTATTTTGCATTGGCGGTTGTGTAGTTAGTTGAAAAGCTACTTTACAACCCGTTGTAACTTTATCTACTATGGAGGCAGAATATATGGCCATGATTGACGCAATCAAAGAAGCCTTGTGGTTGAAGAGTTTGTTTGGCGAACTTAGTCTGCATTAAGGTGTTACTACTATTTACTGTGATAGTCAAAGTGCCATTCATTTGACTAAAAACCAGATGTATCATGAGAGGACGAAACACATTGATGTGAAATTTCATTTCATTCGAGATACTATTGTTGGGGGAAAAGTCCTTGTTCAGAAAATCAGTACCAAAGAGAATCCTGCTGACATGTTCACGAACCTCTTCCAGTTTACAAGTTCAAACAATGGTTGAATTGGGTTGGTATTCGTTGTTGGTGATTTAGACCCATTGGGGCTTATGTGGAGAATGTGGAGTAGTTTTGCTATTGTTGATGTTAGGGACACACCATGGTGGAGATTTGTTAATGTCGCGTTGTCCCACATCGGTTTTTGTATAAGGGAACCTTTCCCGTAGTTGCATATAAATATAGTGGGCCTGTGATGGCGTTAAGTGCACCAAAACCAAGAGAGCATTAGTGAGCTATTTGGACCTTTGGGTCATTAAGCCTTTTGTTTAGTTAAATACTTTTGGGTTCTCTTGTGTTTTTAGTATTAGGTGTTTTGGATTTAGAAACACTTTCCTAAGGCATCTTTTGTATTCTCTTCTTCATAGTAAAATATTGTGCCTCCTCCGCCCGTGGACGTTGGTCAATTTGACCGAACCACTTAAATTCCTGTGTTCTTGTTTTACTTATTTCTGCTTTGTTATTTGTCTTTTGGGGTTATCAAAAATCCTTTCATCAATTCTCCGGAGCCATACCTAACAGTAATAGCTTAGGGTAAGATTCCAAAAACTCATGAAACTTGGAAGTTGGCTTTAGAATGAGGTTTGTCTTGTAAATGTTTTAGTTAGCTTTTGAGACTTTGTAAATGGATAGGCTACTTTTATGCATTTAAGATTCTTTTAAAAAATTTCTTTTTCAGTAGGAAAAAGTGGAACTTAATAGAGGAGGAATTTGAATTCGAGACTTTTAATTCCTGAAATCTCAACTTTAACCACTAAATTAAGTTTTTGTTGAATACATATTTAAGATTGTTTCTCTTGTAAATCTTCATTGTTGATCTTAAAAATAAGTTTTACAGTTTGCTTGAAGACAGAGATATATATATATATGTATATATATATATTAAACTGAAAGAAATGATATATACACTCCACTTATATAAACCTCTTGTTTTGCTTTTTCCTTATGTGGAAAAACAAAACTTTTGTGCGCATTTTTATTATGAGAGTTTTTTTTTAGTCCTTTCATTTAATAGAAAAACAGAATGTGGAATATATAGATCAATATTCTTAATTAATGTAGATAAGTAAAGCTTGTAATCTTCTCAATTAGGAAAAAGTTGAATATATGTGAATCTTATATCTTTTCCTTTTTCTAATTCCCTTCTTAAAATGCAGTTCTTATTACATTAATTTCTAATCGTTGGTGTATCTTATAAATTTATTCCATAAATCTTTCGTCTAAAAATTAAACTAAATTAAACTTGAAATTAGTACATACCGGTGACTCTTCTTGAATGTCTCCGTCTCGTATTTGGGTTATTGGGCACAACTTCTTCACTTGCTGGTACTCCAGTCTCAACCTTAAAAAAATATATATAAAACAAGAAGTTAATTCACACTGTGTTTCTAATATTTGGAGAAATTTAGGAAAGAAATGGATTAATTATATGCATAACAGGTTTCATCTGAAAAGGTTGCGAAAATTAGAGGTACAATTTTCAATTCACCCCTTCACCACCTCACTTTTTGAATCCCATCCTTCCTCTACTTTAGAAAAGCGGGGAAAAAATACCAAAAGGGGGTTATGTGTATTTTTTGAAAACCATAAGGTGATTATATGATAAAATATTAAATTATAAGGGGATTATATGGTAAAATATAAAAATTATACGGGGTTAGTGTGTTATATATTTATAAGGATAATTTCGATATTTTTAAAAGTTTCGTTGCAAATGACTATTTCCGTCACTTTGACACTTTAATCTAAATTAAGAGGGGGTTATGTATATTTTTTAAAACTATAGGGGAGTTATGTAAAAAATACTAAACTACAGAGGGTTAAAGTGAAATTTGCCCCTTTTTTAAGTGGCGTGCTATGTACCTCCAAGCACAGTATTTAGGGCATTTTTGCACTAATCAAATTAATTAGATGTTACATTTCAAACTCTAACTAACCTCCTAATTGGAAGAAACTCAAACTGCTGGTTCCAAGAAAGTGCACAAGCAAGTTATTTACGTAGTAATTGCTCTTGTATTACAATTGTCTACCTTTCATACGACTCTTGACTTAGTTGGTGAGGACATTAGTCAGGAGACCGAAATATCCCCGGTTAAGCTCTAGCGAAGCGCCAAGCTGGTGAAAAGGTCTGATGTGCAACTGTCGGAGTTTCAATTGTGCTGCTAGCTCCGGTCCCTCTTTTCTCGCATCATTTTCTGATTAGAAACTGTAGCCAATTTCTTAATGTGCTGTGAAGTTTCTTATCCCCTGACAGATATTATTGGAGAGGATCAGAGGAGGGGTCAACGAACATTCTTGGAATTCAACTTCAAACATCAGACCCCGGCACTTTTCTAGTCTCCTTCTTCCTGAGGTGAAATTCCTTGTCTTTCTCAGTTTCTGCTCTAATTCTGCTGCATTTTTTCAACCATTTGTGACAACAACATCTTCACTTTGAATTAACCTCTTCTTCTGTATTTTTAGCCTAGTATATGTGCTAAATGTCTTTTAACCCAAGTGTTTCATCAGTTAGGAATCGCTTCCGGTTTAACCATAGTAGTAGCCAAATAAGTTAGTCAACTTATCCATCTCAAGAATTGGTGATCTTCTGATCTGAAGCATGATCGCTCCTTTATAAAAATGCTTGATTCATGATTTTATACAAGGATAATAATAGTTAACAGGCCGAAGCAGTACTTGATTAGTTACTCTGATTAGCCTCATCGAGCTCCAAACTCTATATATCAAAGCCAAAGTGAAGTACTTGACTCTTAGACTTGATTCAGCCCAGCTCTATCTGTAATCAGTTAATGATAAGTGAAGCGTGTTATTGATTCTGTTGAACTGTAATCTCCTTGTTTTAGCATAACTTGTGGATCTTCTGCTATAAGCATAATTGGGTCAAAGTGGGCACCAATGAAATTGTTTGAGAGCTAAATTTGCCAAACAGGAAACCTCTGGCAACTTAGGAAATAAAGGAATAGTGAATCAATATGGTAAAGTGAAAGAGAAATTTAGTCCGTTTTAACAGCCCAAAAAGGAATTAGCTTAGTTCTACCAGCGGGGTTGGGGAGATGTAATTAGGGGGCACTTTGCCAAGCCCTGTAGGCTGAACGCCAGACATCAAACTAACAATGCAATTGTTGCCTCTTTGTAGTTAGACATTTGCAAAGAGATGAGCTATATCCCAATCATATTTCTTTCTCTTTTGCCTTGAACTAATGATATGGTGTTAATTGTTAGTAATTTTATTGTTAATTCTCCTCTTTATCCTTGCCAAATATTGCTTTAATTGTCAATATATATTTATATTTGGTATTTGGATATAATTTCAGAAAGTGGAGCAGAAAAGTGCTAAAAGGGGACCTTCTTGAGAAGATTTCTCCACACGTGAGAAACTTTCCACAATCAGCCCAAATTGTGCAAACCAACGGAATTGCTGATGAAGAGTTGCCTTCCTATTATTAAGTCCTGGCAAGTCCACTAACAATAAGAAATCAAAAGGAGACAATTCTGCGGGGACCACGTAACATTGATTTAGAAAATGTGTTCTTCTTTTGGGAGATGTACTCATTAGCCATAGGTGGACTTTGATGATGAAAGTAGCTTTTCTATTTGCTTCCTACGTAACTAGTTCTCTTATGAAACTAGTGCAGAGGAGAATTGCAGAAACAAGCTTCATAAGACATTAGACTAGTTTTAGTTTTCTCTCCAGGAAGCTCCGTAGGAGGATAGAGGTAGTTTTTGGTTTTCAGAGGAGGAGTTCTTCCTTCCTTGTTGTGTGGTGTGCAACTTTTCTTAAAAGAGTCTAGCGAGACTCAAGTTTCTTCCTAAATTCTTAGTTAGTTATTTATGTATTTGATTCCATTTAAATTGCGTGGAGAATTTTATCATGAGGCGTGGCTAATTTTCTCCTCTAGTCAAGGATCAACGCGAAGACGCAGTCCCAAATATCTGTGAGATCTAATTAATTTTACGTGTTCCTTAATTTGTTAATATTTGCATGTTTTCTATTTTAATTTCCATGGGATTATTTTGTTAATTGGATATCAAGGGCCCGATGTGCAATTTGACTTATTAATCTCCTGTCAAATTAATCAATTAAATCCGTAATTGTTTAGTTGGTTAATATTAGTGACAACTAGTATTTTCACATACTAGGGGACATGCAATCTGATTTAAATAACCCTCGTAGCGTGTTATTAATTTGGGTTAGGCTTTTCTAGTTTTTAATGCAATTAGGAAATTAATTCCTACGGTCGTACCTAGGAGTATTTCCTGGTTAGAAGTAATCAACGGTCGTACCTTGGTTATCAATAAATTAAGGAAAAGCTGGTCGTTAGAGTTTATCGGCGACTATAACTAGCCTATTAATAAAATTAAGTGAACCTTCTTTGCATCAATGATCGGATGAATGGACTGTGTCTGCGTAGTTGTATCCTTGGCTAGAATTTATTTATCATTTATTTAATTGCTATTTACAATTGTATTAATTAATTATTTATTTTTGGTTAAATTATTTAATTATTTTTAGTTAAATTGTTTAATTATTTTTAGTTTATTTCTGATAAAAATCCCCCGTGTCCCGAACTTGAAAGGAATCAAATTTTTCCCAGTCCCTGTGGATTCGACCCTACTCACTACTATACACAGAAAATTTATTTTTCTCGAGTAGGTATTTATTATTGCACAGGCTCGACACCTGTCAATTTTTGGCGCCGTTGCCGGGGACTGGCGTTAATCATTTGTTTCTTTTTAAGTTCATTTTTTTCTGGTATTTTTCTAGTTTATGCCTCGCTCTTCTCGTACAGGCGAATTAATTTTCGACCCTGAAGTAGAGAAGACCGCGCGTAGAACGAGGAAAGAAACCAGGCGGCTCAGGGAGGAGCAATACGATATTGCACCTCAGGAACTTGATCCAGAGGTTGAGCCGACAAATTTGTCTGGTGACAATTCAAGTGATTCAGACCAAGAGGAAGTCACTATGGCAAATGCACGAACACTAAGGGAGTTGGCTGCTCCTGATTTAAATCAGCAGCCCTTGTGCATTACTTTTCCACATTTAAATGATGACACTCCCTTTGAACTAAAATCTGGTCTAATTCATCTCTTGCCATCTTTTCATGGTCTACCAGGTGAGGAGCCCTACAAGCACTTGCAAGAGTTTGACGTCGTTTGCAACAGTATGAAGCCTCCGGGAATTACTGAAGAGCAAATAAAGATGAGGGCCTTCCCCTTCTCTTTGAAGGACTCCGCGAAAGACTGGCTCTACTACCTACCGCCTGGTAGTATCACCACGTGGGACCAATTGAAGAAAAAATTCTTGGACAAGTACTTTCCGGCATCTCGAGCTGCAAGCCTAAGGAAGGAGATATGTGGCATCAAACAACACCCAGGCGAGTCACTCTATGAGTACTGGGAGAGGTTTAAGAAACTGTGCACCAAATGCCCTCAACATCAGATAAGTGAGCAACTGCTCATCCAATATTTCTATGAGGGATTACTTTTCAGGGACAGAAGCATAATCGATGCTGCAAGTGGAGGAGCGTTGGTGAACAAAACTCCTCGAGGAGCCTGGGAGTTGATTGAAGGGATGGCTGAGAACTCACAGCAGTTTGGTTCAAGAGAGGACATCCCGACGCGTAGGGTGAATGAGGTAGAAACATCCTCTATTCAACAGCAACTCTCCGAATTGACATCTTTTGTGCGACAACTAGCTGTGGGGAATACATCGCAAGCCAAAGTGTGCGGGGTATGCACTGCCGTGGGTCATCCTACGGAAATGTGTCCATTGGTTCAAGAAGAAACTGCTGAACAGGTGAACATGGCTGGCCACGCGCCCGCGCCAAGAAAGCCGTACGACCCATACTCAAGTACCTACAATCCTGGTTGGAGGGATCACCCCAACCTTAGTTATGGAGGAAATAGGCAGTCTAACTTTGTGCCAAATAGACAGCAAGGACACCAACAGCAGTACCATCATCGCCCACCACCACCACCACCACTTTCAAACTCAAGTCCGTCCATGGAAGAGATGATGAAGCAATTACTTGCTAATCAACAAAAGACGGATTCAGACTTGCAAAGCATGAGGAATCAACTGGGACAGGTGCAATCATTGCAAAATCAAATGAATCAAATGGCTATAACAATCAACCGGTTGGAGTCCCAAGTTCAAGGAAAGTTGCCATCTCAACCTGAGGCAAATCCAAAGAATGTAAGCGCAATGACCTTAAGGAGTGGCAAGGAAGTTCAAGGACCCGAACCGGTGATTCCTAAAGACAAGGACGAGGAACGGATTGAGAAAGAATTGGAAGAGGAGGGCACAGACAACAAAAATGCAAAGGTACCCTCGAACCCAATTCCTACAACTAAAACTAATCCACCTCCCTTTCCTAGCAGGTTAGAGAAACCAAAGAAGCAAGACAAGGAAAAAGAGGTCTTGGAGATCTTTCGCAAGGTGGAGATCAACATACCCCTGCTGGATGCGATTAAACAAGTACCCAGGTACGCAAAATTTTTGAGGGACCTGTGTGCCAACCGCAAGCGGTTGAAGGGGGATGAACGAGTTATAGTTGGGGAGAATGTTTCAGCAATTCTACAAAGGAAACTTCCACCAAAATGCGGAGATCCAGGTATGTTTACTATTCCTTGTAGGATAGGTAATACTTTGATTGGAAAGGCCATGTTAGACCTGGGAGCCTCAATTAATGTCATGCCAAAGTCCATTTATGCTCCTTAAACTTAGGCCCTTTGAAAGAGACTGGGATAATAATCCAATTAGCTGACAGGACCAATGCATACCCTGACGGGTTGATTGAAGATGTTTTGGTAAAAATTAATGAATTGGTTTTTCCAGCTGATTTTTATGTGCTCGACATGGAGGATGAACACTCCCGTGATCCGTCACCTTTGTTGTTAGGTAGACCCTTTTTGAGCACAGCCCGAACCAAAATTGATGTTAATAAGGGTACTTTGTCTATGGAATTTGATGGTGAGATTGTTCACTTTAACATCTTTGAGACCATGAAATATCCATCCGATTCAAATATTGGCTCTGTTTTCTCGATAAATGTTATTGACCCTGCTATACAGGAGGTTTTTGAAATTGAAGGCAGGGATGAACTAGAGGTCGTCCTGACCAGGCACTTTGAGTCCGAAACAACCTCTAGGGTAGAATTGAGTGAAGAACTTAAATGCGTGATTGGATCGTTGCAAACGTTACCAACCACGAAGACAAGGTATGATCTTGCACCGATTTTCATACCCGAGCCTCATCAAAGGTTACTTCCATCTGTGGTGCAGGCACCTGTCTTGGAACTAAAACCACTGCCGAAACACCTACAGTATGTATACTTAGGTGAAGGGGAGACA